ATTCAAGGACTTCAGTTTGTCCTTTTCACTCTTTATGCTTTCTAGGCTTGTGAGAAAAAGCCAATTGACTCTACAATCTTGATAACCATGATCGTTACCATAGTTACCATTTTCTCTAGCCACTTGACCTCCATCTGCACAACATCCTTCATCCCATGCTACCAGTGGGGATAATTTGAGTTATCATGATGCCACCACATGCCGTGGAATTACTATTGGCCCATTACTCCAAGCAAAGAGGTTATTTCTTCTCCTCTCAAATATATCAGTGGCTCAATCATGAAATCTTATTTTGATCTGATTCTACAACCCTGAAAGTTGGAAAGCCCTGTTTCCTAAAGCTACTCCAAAAACCGATTACTGGATTAGTCAATGTCCCAGCTGGAGAAAGATGGAACATTCACAGTGAGTAACTGAGGAAAGTATAATAAATGGATCCTGTACTAAAGTATGGACAGGTATGAAGAAACTGTCAAGGAATGTTGCAGGACCCTGAGGTTAGCAAAAACGGGTAGTTTTTTCATAACTTGATCTCAAATAGCAGCAAGGAGAGCTCTTATCTAAACCCACGGTGGGTACATGTATTGAGAGGACCCGTTGACGAGAACTGCTCTCTCCATCAGAGGAATGCAGGGGTCTGACAGTGACCCTGAAGGGAGTCTGTAAACTAAAAACCTAACCTCAATTTCTTCCTATTCTCTCATTTTCTGCCAGAACTTCGCATTGGCTGAACCCAAAGAGAAGCCCAAGCATGTGACAGCAGGGAGATACATCCCATACAGCTCAGCTTCCAATGACACAGGAGGAAAAGTTTAGAGGGTGGATTTGGTAAAATAAACACAAAACACCCTGCACAGGTACCAGCCCAAGAGGAGAAAAATTAGAGCTAGTTATAATATCTGGATTTATTATCTTCTAAGCCTCTATTGGGTTCCCTGCTCTTTCTGTAGATGCAATGGTATTAAGAATGAGTTATTGACTTTATTCTTTTCTAAGAAAATCAGTTCTTCCATCCCCAAATATTTTAGTCTTCCAAATGAGAGGGCCAATGTTTTATGAAATTAGGAGTGAACATTTTTTCTTCTTCCTTACTTTTCCATATGTTTATATCTACGCAATGTAGGTCTACATTTCGAAAACAAGACTAATATGAAATTGGCATTCGTCCCTTAACACAAATACTTCATTTTTGACCTAAATATATGACGAAGAAAAATGTAATCAGATAGAATGGTTACAGTGGCATTTTCTGCCCAGAAAAATTTCATATGCCTAAGATCAAATCCAGGCCTTGCCTCTTTATAGCTTTAATGACTGGATAATTTTTAAAAATTTCTCTGAATTTCAGTTTCTCCACAATTAAAATGGGGGCTAGAATACATAACATGAACAAAAATTGTTACTATTAGAGATAAAGTAGATAATGCTCCTGGCACGGTTGCTGGTACATATTAGGCACCGAATAATTGGAAAGGATTATTAATAGCACAGATGTAGAAGTAAAAGAAGAGAAAATATTGATTTAGATGTCTAAAAGATGAATGAATATCCATGAAGAAATTTAGAAATGAATTATCAAAGCAGCTTTAAAAACTCTTAGGGTCCTGAAAAAGTAGACAGATGTATTTATATTCCTGAGATCTGATAGGGATGTGTAACCACCAGCCATGTATTTGTACTGAGATACAGCCCTTTGCTTTTTTTTTAAATTTTAGACGGGGACTGGCCCTGTGGCTGAGTGGTAAGGTTCGTGCACTCCACTGCGGCAACCCAGGGTTTCGACAGTTCAGATGCTGGGCACCGACATGGCACTGCTCCTCAGGCCATGCTGAGGCAACGTCACACGTGCCATAACTAGAAGGATCCGCGACTAGAATATACAACTATGTAATGGGGAGATTTGGGGAGAGAAAGCAGGGGAAAAAAAGATTGGCAACAGTCATTAGCTCAGGTGCCAATATAAAAAACACAAAATACAATAAATTTTAGACCTATCACCACATGCACACGGATTTCCTTGCCACAAAGGAATTAAACCCCTCTGAGCCACACATTTGTGAAATGTGTGCAGTCCAATCTGTTGGCTGCTTTGGGGCTTAACAAAGTGAATTGAAAACATCAATGATTTATGGGAAACGAAGATGCCATGATGGACTGTATATATTACAATGCAAGGATACCATTCGGTTAAAGCCATTTACATTTCGAATTTTAGCAGTTCCTAAAATCAGCTTATATGCAAAGCTCCTTATACTAAAATGAGCTTAATTTCTGGTTGTAAACAGTTTTCCTGAACACCATAAATTTCAGGCTTCATGAGGATTCCTTGTTCAATTCAGATTAGCTTAGGAAAATCTTTAGTTACATTAAAATCTTATATGGTGGATTTACTCCTTCAACTTATAGCAACAATTTTCCAGGGCATTTTTTTTCTACTGGTGTAATTTTTCCACCACTGTTCTAGCATGTTATGTTGAAGGACTAGTTATTTAATGGGTAAAATTCATTCTTTCTGATCTGTATATAATTTTCATATTTGAAATTAGTACTTTTATAGTATTTCTCTATTACTTTTATATAGACTCTTAAGACTACCACCTTTTCCTTCAAGAATTACAAGATATACTAATATTTTTTAACTACATGGGAAAAGCCACTTACTGGTTTGAGCTGACCATCATCCACTCTCCTTTCTTTTTGAAAACATTTTCTGAATTGCTTTTCGAGCATTCACCCCTTCGCCATGCAGTGCAAGTAACTCTCCAGAAGCTGAATCTATCCTCAAATCTTTCTTCCAAGGTATTCACCACACCCCTTCAAGCTGTTTATACTCTTTAATTCAGGAATGGGCTCATGATCATATTAAAATCAATGAGATATGAGTAGAGTGTATATTCTGTATATATGCTTCTTGGGAACAAGCATTCTTGATTTTCAACAAAAGTTATTGAGGGAGTATCATTTCATAAGCTGGAGTTGAATGAGGAAAGCTGTTGCTTTGAAAGCTGCTGGTAGCCATTCTGTGACTATGAGAGTTTCCAGCCTTAGCATGAAGCAGACACAGCGGAAGATAGAGAAGAGAAATGCAACAAATTCCAGTCTTTGAAGATACTCAAGCCTGACTGAAGCCTTCGCAACTTCTGGACATGTTCCAGTTTCAGGTACATGTACCACAAATTGTCATAATTTTTAAGCTCAAGTATTTATACTAGTTTGTTATTTAGTTCTATTGCTTGCAGTGGAGAAATTTCTATACTTTTTTCCCTCTGTCTATTCAATCAACATTTCCATCCACCTGCAAGGTGCCATTATAAAGGCTCAGGGCTTCCTGCAGTCCTTTTAATGTGCATATGGAATTCAAATTGAATTTTCTCCACGTTCAAAGTTTTCATAGAAAATTCTCTTGGTTTGATTTAGGTATATGAATGCATTTTAGTTACAATTTCAAAATGGACTTTAATTATGTTCTTCCTACCCTATTTACTCAGAATTGCCAGGTAGTTTAAACAAAAATGTGAATACTTAATACATACTAATACGTTTTATATATAATATGCATATATAAAAATATATAACCTATGTTATTCTAAAAGAGAATATCTATACACATTTGGAAAATTATTTAAATTAATTTATATTTCTTTCCATTTGGGTAAGATAAAGATTATGCAGATTGCTCATATTATTTAAGTTTTTGACATTATCAGTTATTAAATAATTAAAAAGTATTTTAAAACAGACCCACAATAAAAAATTTACTTCTTACTTTTGTATCAATCAGTTCTGTTGTATTCATTGGTTTATAACCTGTCCACAAAAATTATGTTCCTAGCAGCATTTGACACAATAATTAACATGCTAGTAAATGAATTTTTAATACTTGTTACAAATCATAGTTTCCATTTCTTTTGTTAAAAAAATAATTCCACTTGTCAGTATTGAAACATGGCACTGATCTTTTTCTCCATAAATTTCATAATTGGATAAAACAACTAAAGGAGAAAACACAGGTTTCTATGGAGCTATCTAATGTTTCTGTCTAAAAATCGAAAAGAACATGGCATGGGCACGGCAAAGACATGAGCAACATGAGAGCGAGAACTAGAGCAGTAATTTTACAAAAAACATATTTGTAAAACCAATATGTTAAATAGTTGCTACACTGATACAAATAGGGAATCATGTGCAATTTTTCTTCATTCAATTTTCCAGCAAGCTTTGTAGTTTATCCAATCATGGAAACAAACGTGAGGAAACCAGAGATACTTTTCTTATTGACGACATCCTGTGAGGTAGGTACAGTATGATAGATGAATAAATGAAGAACAGGGAGTTCAACTAATCGGCCTCAAAATTTGAAACTGGGATTCAAAACCAAGCATTCAGACTTAAATTTCATTTCCTTCATTACTAAATTTGACTCACTAATCATCATCACTATCATCAAAATAATAATAGTAATAATTATACATATATATACACACACATATATATATATACATTAATGTCTAGGGTTTCTTTAAAAAAAATGTGCCTCCTAGATGGCTGGCCAGCCTTCTTTTACTGGCAGTCATTCATTTGACAACAGAGACACAATGACAAATATAAAGCTCTTTAATCTGAGTAATTTTGTCTGCTGCCAGATTTACCAAACGTTAGTTTTGGACTATTACATTATATAAATATTCTGTTTGCCTAACAAATTGAATATTTGAATTAAAAAAGAAAACTTCAGGGGCTGGCCCCGTGGCCGAGTGGTTGGGTTCGCGTGCTCCACTGCAGGTGGCCCAGTGTTTCGTTGGTTCGAATCCTGGGTACGGACATGGCACTGCTCATCAGGCCACGCTGAGGCAGCGTCCCACATGCCACAACTAGAAGGACCCACAACGAAGAATACACAACTATGTACCGGGGGGCTTTGGGGAGAAAAAGGAAAAAAATAAAAATCTTTAAAAAAAAAAAAAGAAAGAAAACTTCAGATATCTAAATTTTTATGTGGTGTTTTGAGTCTTGATGCATCAGGAACACACTGAATGAAGATGGAGGTGAGCAGTAAGAGCGGCTTTGTCTGAATCCTCACGACTTCAGAACTCCTTTCTTCCCACAGCTGAGACATAGGTGTCTCTGAAAAATGAGAGTGTATTCAAAAGCATTTATTAAAAAGCACTGTCAAATTCCCAGTTGAAACTTTTCGGTGTGTGAACACAAAAACGAAATTAAAATAAAACTCCAAAAGCTGCCAGGAACCCTTTGAAATTTAGCAGCTACTGATGTTTCAGATAATGGCACTTTAAAGGAGTTAACATGCAAATCAGACTGCAGAATATTTTTCTCCATTAGAAGTAATTGTTTTCGCTTTACTTTCACTTCAAAAGTCTTTAAAAACAACTTGTCAGAATCCTGGATGTATTTTTCTCATTACTTTTTAAATGGACAATTTCTGTCCAACCACGAGTGTTTCCAAAGCCATTAATGAGCAAATTATTAACTAAACAGTAAGATGAGGATGCACAGAGTTTGTTATGAAAGATTTTTCCATAGTTAATTGGGCTAAAAGGACAGAGTTATGATTGTCTGCTTCCCTCCACTCTCCACTTAGTGGATACACATGCACAAGCCTAGAATACAATTTGAGTCTTTATAAGTTAAAGTTAAATTGTCAAATGAACATGATAGGGTTAGGTTAATGATGATTTTGTTATTATTTCACAGAAACACAACCACCATCTGAGGCAGATAAAGTATATATTGTCAATTCCCCTACTTCCTCAGGAACAGACAGTCAAAATCTACATACGGCCTAAGAATGACCTTCTTTTCTGGAAGTTCGTTGACAAACACTTTTTTCTCTGAATACCCATTCAACATCTGAAAAGAAACACGTTTTTGACTGTTCCTCTTTCCAATTTTGATTTTTCTCTCGTTTTTGTTCCTATTACATATATAACAGATTTAAGTGCTAATTTAGATACATTCAACTAAGTGAAATATGAATTAATTTTTTAACTCACACTTTTGACTGGATTGAATAGTTTGAGACTGATGTGGGAAGTTTAAAATGACAAAATGCTTGGCTCTCATACCTTTTTGGACAAAGAATGTTCTTCAGTTTTATGGTTAAGCTTTGATATCCACATAAACATTGGCACTGTCATCATGGGCAGTGGTAACACTACAGCTTCCATAAGTGACTTTGTGGGCAGCACACATGGGAACCAGAATAGTGAATAGGGTCAGTGTTGCATGATGATTACAGTCAAGCAGTCAAGAAACAGGTTGTGAGTATATGTGTTATAATTGTCAAAAGGTCCCAAAATTGACATTAGAACCCTTTGGTGGTGAAAATAATCTTGGCATTGACTTTAGTGTGGTCCGTGAAGCCATAAGACATTTTAACCACACTATCATTTATATCTTCTTAAATATTTGTCAACCTCCAGGAAAAATGGAATACATATGATAGTTAGTGTTATGTGCAAGCTTGGCTAGGCTATGGTACTCAGCTGTTTACTCAAATACCAGTTAGATGTTACTGTGAAGGTATTTTTGTAGATGAGGTTAACATCTATAATTGGTTGACTGCAAGGAAAGATTATCTTTGATAATATGTCTGGGTCTCATCCAATCAGCTGAAGGCCTTAAGAATGAAAAGTGAGATTACTTCGAAAAGAAAGAATTCTGCCTCAAGACTGCAGCATAAATATCCTTCTTGAGTTTCCAGCCTGCTGGACTGCCGTACAGATTTCAGATTCAGATGGAATATCAACTCTTGCCTGAAGTTCTAGCCTCTGCTACACTATGGAGGAGAGGCTGCTCCCATCTGCAATAGGAGATATGTATATATATATATCTCCTATTGGTTCAGTGGGCCTGAGAAGAATAATTTATTTGTCTAGATCATCAAATTATCTGTCTAAAATTATCCACTTATAACTTAGGTGATTATAATTGTGAAGATATGTTTTATTGGGATGCTGATTCAAAACTGGGATAAATGTGTACTCATTATATCTATCAAAAATCTCAGAGACAATCTTACTTTGTCATTAATTAACTAGCTTAATATTGCTTGTGTTGAAGTTGTTTTGTTGCATTATTTAAAAACTATCCGTATCCCATTGGTCAAATGCAACAATACCAACCATGAGGTTGGATACTGTGGACTCATCATTTAAGAGGTTTTCACCGGAAAGGAAGATCAAGAAATAAAATCAGTAGTTGGGATGGAGTGACCTGGTATTCTTTTGAAACTCCCATTAAAATATTATGGGATGATGGGACGCAGATGGAGAAGTGAAGAGAAGGCGTAGGGTGACTAATTCAGTTTATCTGGAACTATCCTGGTTTTGACACTGAATGTCCACACCCTGGGAAATCCCTTAGTCCAGGGCAAACAGGAACAGTGGTCACTCTGACTCAAGCACTGTGCTAATTAGAGACACTGTATAATCTTAATCTTATAAGTAGATATAATTGTAGCTATTTTACTACGGAGACATTGAAGGATCACTAAATTACTTGGAGAACATCTCCACGCTCTCCTATCTCATCCACCATTGTATCTATGTGCTCATGACTTACTAAAACAGTCATTTAATTGGATTTTCTGCTTTTTTTCTTCACTCCTAAGAGCCCTCTCTGTTTCCAAACAGCAGATGTCTTAAGAATAATTGCATTAGAATCATATAATTGGAAAAGTATATTTATGATTAGAAAACTTTAGTTATTAATTAGAAATAAATTTATATATTTGTTATATTATCTGTAGACTCACTGAATGCCATTTTTAAATCAATCAATAATGTAGGTAACTATATTTACTAAAATTATATTGAACCAATTGCATATTGAAATCTTCATTAACAGGAAATGGTAGTGAAACAGAATTAACTAATATTTTATTTTGTTATAAGAACAAGAAGAGAAAAAGCATAAAAATTTCAATAATCATTTTTGTTTTTTATGAACTCTTAAGTAATCAATGTAATTTTTGCAAAGTGTTGTATAAATTGACATATGTTAGGGATATGGTACATAGAATTTAAATCCTCTAAGAAGATTAATTTTTAAATGAATTTAAGTTAATTTTTATTTAGAGTAGAAAAACCTTTTGGTTATGTCTATAGTCATTCTTCAAAAATGTTTGTTTTTAATGTGTTATATCATTTTATAGACATTTTTCCTAAAGTTTAACACACTCTTACTTTTCAAATAAATCACTGAACGTGTCTAGGTTTACTTGTCCTTCTGACTCAGCCACGGAGTATATTTAAGTATTATGAGTATATTTATAAAGAAATTTTCTGTCTCCATTTTAAAGCTTCAAGTAAATTTTTAGTTAAAAAACATCTTCCAAATTACTCAGACTCCTGCTAAGGAAAGATGTGCACAGTAGCAATTAGGACAGTTAATCAGTTGGATTTGTCATCTAAAGGGGAAAAATCATTAGCAAGACACTGGGTGGCCACTGACAGCTTAAATACTTATAAATCCCAAAATTGTCAGCTCCTTCATTTAAAAGGGATAGGTTGAGCCTTCTTCAATTTAAACTTTTGATTTATGTCACTTTGCCAAAAACCTAAACGCTAGGAGCCTTGTCATGCAGAAAACTTTGATAAAAGTTAAACAAGAAAATTGTCCTAGAAAAAGTCAAAAGCTGTTGTCTGCATACTACATCAGAGCCTCCTTAGATCTTAATAACTGTTATGTAGATTCCCACATACTAGAGGTCAGCCCCTGAACGCTTACTGTGCATCTACAATTGACTGAGTCTATGTCACAGAGTTGAATGAGATATAGATCCTGTCGTGAAGGGGTTCATATACCAGTGTCCAAAAATATGATTTGAAACACATCAATGAAATGTTAAAACTGCCACGAAATTAATAGATCTATTCTCTCAAATGGCTTAAATGGAAAAAGCCATATATGTGCTTTAAAAAAATGCAGTCAATTAGATTTGTTATTTAAGGATCAACACTAGCCTCAAGTGACAAATTGCCAAAAAGCACCCTTCAATTGACCTTAACTAGAGAAGTATCTGGAAGACCACTGGTAAAAATACTATGTGTATTCTCTTTAACGTTAACTTATATCCATTGATGTCCTAGGCTCATCAATACTCAAGTCATTGAATCAACTCTTCTTTCATTCAGTTTTCAAAGTTCTTTTCTGCACAATCATCAGGCTAACCATGTGGTTGATCCAACTCGGTTAGGACACTCTAATGTGTACTAAGATTTCCTAAGCTTTGTAAGGTAGATGTGAACTCTATTTTGAAAAATATTCTTTTCTTTATAATTTTCTTTATAATAAAGCAGAATTCAAAAGTCACTGGAACCCATAGGATACAAATTAGCATCTAGATTTTATTTTAATAATCATTGTAGCCTTGTCATCATTGAATTAACTACAATTAATTTCTGAATTCCTGAACTCTGTTAATACACACATGTACATGCACACTTAGATGACCAATTTGATTTGCACAATTTGCTTAAATGACACTTAAAAATAAACAGTAATAGAAGTGCCACCATTGCAACTCTCTGAAGAATCCTTTAAAATTAATTATTCAAGTGATGTCACTTGAGTAATTATTTACCAAATACTTGCAGAAAGCTTATTGAGCTTTTGACAAAAGAGCTAAGGGTCAATGAAGCTTTGGTGAAATAAGTAATACTCAGCATGTAATCTATTAAATATATTAATGGTACTTCATAGACTTTTAGAGCTGGGATATAGCTAAGGTAGTCATTAAATTCATCCACATTACATGCATAGTGGAAGTGGTGGAAGCTCTTATTTGAGAATATAACTCTTTTGCCTGAGTATTTAGAAGACTTTGGAAATCAATGAAGCAAGGGAACAAAAGTTCTGAGAAAGAGTTCAGAGGGAAAGTGGAGAGATGTCAAGACATATCTACATGGTCTAAGTAACCTGGACCAGGAGCGAAAGAAAGAAGAATTGAATAGTGTTGGGTCCTAGCTAAGATCTTACATGAGAATTTTAAAGGGAGATGGAAGTTAAAAGGTCCAAATAAGAACTTTTTCTCTAAAATCTTTGTGAAACATTAAAAACTCTATGTTGAAAGCACAACTCTGCTTTATTGTCTACGTGCTATA